CAATATTATACATCTTCAGGTCTGTCATGGGATGCGATGTTGCGGTACACTAAGGTGGAGTTGGAACTACTGAGATATGATTAATTTCTTCAAAAATAGTATACGCGGTGGTATAAGCCAATGCGTTGAAAGAAAACATATCGCCAATAACCCGTATTTGTCCGAATATAATCCTTTCGAGCCGAAGTCTTCCATACATTATATCGATGCGACAAATCTCTATGGTTATAGCATGAGTCAACCTCTGCCCACGGGAGAATTTGTTTGGTTGTCGGCTGAGGAAATTAATCAACTCGATATTATGTCTGTTGATGATCTCGGGGATTATGGGTATGTTTTAGAAGTTGATGTAACATATCCGCATCACCTTCATGATAAACACGCTGATTTGCCATTTTTAGTAGAGAATATAATTCCACCTAATTTCAAAACAGAAATCCCCAAATTGGTTCCCAATTTAAATCATAAAGACAAGTACGTATTACACTATAGAAACTTCAAGCAGGCCATAAATAATGGGCTAATTGTAACTCAAATTCATCGCGTCCTCAAGTTTAAGCAGTCTCGTTGGCTGAAAAAATATATAGACCTCAATACAAATATGAGAAACAATGCTAAGGACACATCCGAGAAAAATCACTTTAAGCGCATGGTCAATTCTGTGTACGGGAAAACTATGGAAAATGTAGATGACAGGCGTGATATTTACCTTAGAACCCACTGGACGAGTAAGAGAAATTCCCCAGGCGCAAACAACTTAATTGCTAGACCTAATTTTAAGTCTTGTTCCATATTTTCAGAGCACTTTGTGGCTATACATATGGGTAGAACTAAAATTTGTTATAACAAACCACTTTATGTAGGTTTCACGGTGTTGGAATTGTCGAAAGTGAGAATGTATGATTTTTATTACGGCACATTAAAACGACAATTAGGCGATAACATTTCCTTACTTTACACGGATACTGATAGTTTTGTGCTTAAAGTTAAATCAATAAATTTTTACGAATTTATGAAAGAAAATATCGAACATTTCGACACATCTAATTATAAATCGGATAATAAATTTAACCTGCCAGTAAGTAAACCAATATTGGGAAATTTTAAGGATGAGTATCCAAATCAGGCCATCAGCATCTTTTTAGGGATAGGCGCCAAGGCCTATTACATTAGATCAGATGAAAAAGAGAGCAAAACCGCTAAGGGCGTAAAGAAATCCGTAATTCAAAATAGCTTAAACATGGTGGATTATCAAAAAATTGTAGAAGGTGGGGGTAAGATATTTAGAAAAATGAATACATTTAGAAGTCAGTTACATGATATCTATACTGAAATGAAAAACAAAGTTGCATTATAATACCAAACACCGCTAAAACTCTACCGTGGGGACATAAAGATATTCAGGAATATCGTAATGGACCTCAAAATACTGTGGCTGAATTTAGATGTAGGGTATCCAATATTGTAAATAATAGTAATGAAGAAGATAGATTAGATTTACTTTTAAGACTATTAGAAGAAATGTAAACAGAAATGTATGCATAAGTTTGTAATATATTTGTAACAAAATAAGTTTATTTTTATAAAATTTCCAACTATCTCTCCCCTCCACTCCCTACTCATTCCTACCACAATAAATAGTGGGTGCCCATGGTCAGATATTCATTCTGCCATATCCAGCCGAAACAGAAGACAGAAAAAAAATGTCTATCAACATAGCGACCATAATAGCCAGAGAACAAGCCATAATTGACCATGTGATGTTTAATAAAACATGGGGGAAGTTCCAATCAGAAGTGAATAGCCACAACAAATCAACATTGAACAAGGCACATAAAAAGAAAATGTAATTGTTAGGTTATATGCATAAAAAATTGTAAAAAATTACTTTAAATATATATTTATACCAATTTCCGTCTATATTTTCCCCCCACCCACACCAAAATAGTAGGTACAACTGCAAGAGAACAAGCCATAGGTCACCACGTAGTGATTAATAAAATATAAATTTCTAGATGGATCAGGTAAATAACTGAAGGTACCAATTTTGAAGAAGTCAAGGATGGTAGTAGACAATGGACGCAAAAATTATAGTAAGGGATACATGGTTTTGTAAACCACGCTTCAATATCTCACCATTATTGACCACCCCGCCGCATCCAACCGCCCCCCAACCGCCCCCCACCTTCCCCGACCCAAATCGCCGAAACCGTCCCCCACCGCCCCCTACCCAAAATCGCCCCGGCCGGAGGCCGGATTTTTTCAGGGCCAACAAAAAAAAACAAAAAAAAGGTGCCATGAGCGTTATAGAACTTATGGGGACATAAAGATATTCAGGAATATCGTAATGGACCTCGAAAAACTGTGGCTCAATTTAGATATAACGTATAGGCCGGAGGCGCCCGCGGGCGAAGCCCGCGCCCGGCCGATTTTCTTCTTTTTTCTCCCACTCCCACTCTCTCCCCTCCACTTTCCGATCACTATATATACGGGAACCAGACCTGAGAAATTTAGTTTACTACGGCTCGCCGAGTAAACTATTTAATTCTTTTCGTTATTTTTTCAGTAATCAGTAATCAGTAATCAGTTTTTCAACATGACTTCAATCGAAGAGACGATCGCCGCAGCTAACTCAATCATGTCAATCGATGCTGTTGAATTCGATTTTGAGGAAATCTTCAAGGAGTTGACGGTTCCTTCACCGGTATCGCCGATGGAGCTGTCGCAAGTGTGCGACATCCCATTACCGGCCCCGTTACCGGCTCCTTTGCCGATCCCGTCACCGGCTCCGTTACTAGCCCCAGTACCGGTATACGACAGCGGAGACGATTTTGAAGCGCCCAAGAAGATCCGGGTCCTCAGTGATGTACGCGTCGATACGCTACCCTCGTCAGCCACATTGCCAAAACTTGTCGGCACAATGGAAGATGCGCCCTGTAGGTCGAAGCCAACGAGACCGCGGGTGGTTGTGCCGAAGAGTAGAAAGCCGAGAGCCACCGCAGCGAAACCAAAGACCGCGCCAGTAAGGAAGTTGAAGGCGGTAGCCTGAACAAGTGCGGCGGTACCAATTCCAATTCCGCCCAAGGATGACGGCGAAGAAGACAGCATGAGGAAGAAAATCAACAACGCCGCCACCGTCCTATTGAATTTGGAGACGCGGTATAATGCTGATAGGGAGCAGTTAAGTATCACTGAAGCGACAGTAAAACAGCTCAGGATGGAGGTGGATGGTATGGCGAGAGATATAGGGGTTACCTTAGCGCCACTTCAGCGCGAGACTGAAGGTTTGGCAGATGAAGATGCCCGCATCCAACGGCACTTGGTTGACTTGCAACGAAAGATGGATGAGACCATTCATCGTCGGAACAATGTGCGCCAAAGACAGTTGGATGTGGGCATTGAAATTGCTAGGGTTAAAGAGACCCAATCGGAGTATGAAAAAAGAAGGCTGCATATGATATGATGCAGGGCCGGTATCGCGAACTTATTGAGCGGGCGCGCGTTAGGAGTGCGGACTACACACAGTTTTTGGATCGCATAGTGTTGCATAAGGACAGGTAGACATTTTTTGGTATTTGTTAATTTGTTAGTCGTGGAGATATGCCTACTGGGGAGCTAACCACGTTAAAAAAAAGCAGCGCGCCATGAGTTCTATCTCCATATATTATGATTAGTTTATGATGATAGGCTAGTTGTAATATATAAGATGGTGTGGAAACGTACTCCCCAATATACTGCTGATGCTGCCGCTGTCGATGGTGATGGAGAAAGTACGGACTACAAACAGTTTCTGGGGCACATAGTTTTGCATAAGGACAGGTAGACATTTTTTTGGTATTTGTTAGTTTGTTAGTTGTGGAGATATGCCTACTGGGGAGCTAACCACGTTAAAAAAAAGCAACGCGCCATGAGTTCTATCTCCATATATTATGATTAGTTTATGATGATAGGCTAGTTGTAATATATAAGATGGTGTGGAAACGAACTCCCTAATCAGAGCCAAACAAAACAACAAAATTTTAAGATATAAAAGTTTTATTGTCGAAAGTCTTGCACTCTTAATTTTTACTATTTATTAATATAATAGCGAAATTTTAAGATATAAAAGTTTTATCACCGAGAGTCTTCCACTCTCGCTTCTCCCCCACTCTCTCCCCACTCTACTCACTTTTTTTCAATCACTATAAATACTCATCACACATATGCATACAATCATTCTGCTTCATGATGTGCGATTCTGCAAGTAGCTCTGGTTTCAGCCCACCCGGATTATGTAGAACAACCATCGCATGGTTGTTTCCGACCACGTCGGAAGTGGAGTTGGGTCCTTGTGACTTAACTTCTTCTTCTCCCCCTTTGCCAAGGCCGCCATCACCTGCGGGGCCTTGCGACAGCACCTCGCAAGTTGAAGCGGTGGATATCGACATCGACCATGTTGATATGGGTGGCTACGGCTCAGACGATATACCGGCGATCGATATATCGTCTGATTCGGATAGCGATTCCGACTCGGATTAGGGCGTATGCTCTAGTCGAGAAAAACGGCCCTTTTCAGGGCCAACAAAAAAACAAACAAAAAACGGTTCCTTTTAGAACCAACAAAAACTAGCGGACTGCTCAATGGGCTAAACATTATTATTTTGCATCAATTGTAATTTAAAATTGGTCCCACTCAACATCTAACCCCCACCATATTTTTAATGGTAAAGTAGAAGATATTTCGTCTTCCGAAAAACTAATATAAGAATAACAAGAAACTATTATTTTACCTTTGAAAAATTATGTAGAGTTTTAACCCAAATACTCATCTACTAGAATGGGTGTGAGCAAGAAAAATAGAACTTATTGCTAGCCCAGACAAAAAAAGTTTGCATTGTTAAGGTTCGAACTATCTATAACATCCCCCACCTCAACATCCATCCACCGAACTCTTAATAAAAGAGTTCCTATAGCCTCAGATATTCAGTTGTCTAAATTCAGTTTGAAGGCCCTGCGCTACTATGAATAAATTAAATGATACTTGTTCTATGAGTAAGCGTCTTACTTGCAAGATTTGTGGCGATAAGGAGGTGCAAATGGTTTTTATACCATGCGGGCACGCAGTATCTTGCGTAAGTTGCAGTCAATCCGTAGTTATTTGTATTATCTGCAGGGCGCCGATTAATGCTAGAGTAAAATTTTTTCTGACTTCCAACTTTCCGGAACTAGCCGAACTCAACTGAGCGCGGTGTAATGCAGGGGAGGTGGTAAATTCGTGGGTTGGTGGAGTGGAGGTGGAAATACATAACATATATAAGGAGGTCCCGACCACGTACCAACATCAGACGTTTAAGTGTAGCTGACCTGAACCACCGACATGAACAACCAAAATGAATACCAGGGTGAAGAAGATGAAGGAGTTAGGGAGATCATTCGTCAACTGGCCTTAGTAGCGCGCTTTGATGCCAACAAGCCAGGAATTGACGAATTTTGGGCCGCCGTAGAACGTGATGTAAGTTTTTAACTATTACCTTATGTTTATAAAATTACTACTCATTATGCTTATAAAATATCTAATCAATATACTTCTTTACAGGCTGCTGATGCTGCTGATGGTGATGGAGAAGGCGCGGCTGGTCTAGCTCAACCTGCCGACGAGGATTTGGGCGCTGTTGGTCCGGCACCACCCGTCGAAGAGGGTGCAGACGCCGTTGGTCCAGCCCCACCCGCCGATGAGCCCGCCAGCGACGACGACGATGAGGGCATTGAGGCTGATTGCCCTGGATCACCGACTTCAATAAGAAGGGAGCTGGCTGTATTTAAGGCCAGAGGCGGTAACCACTTCTGCGTTACATCCAGCTCCGTTATTGTGAAGTTGGTTATTCCCGGCATGGAACGGAGCAAACGTCTGTGCAACCCCTGCTTTCTTTATTACGAGCAGATGGAGGTCGAAAGAAATCCAAATGCCAGGTACATACACGAGCATCAGCATTTTGTTGTAGAAGGGGGGGATTTGGAGGATCCGCAAACATGTGATGTATGCGCCCGATATATTTCCCACTTCTGCGACACAAATGTTTGCCCTGTATGCATCGGCGCTTGAAATAAAGGAGTCAGGGGTTGCAATACGGCGGCTTTGTTATGCATCCAATGACCCTCTATATATTAGTTTTAGATTTAATTTGTATAATTGTTTATTATTTAAGCTTTATGTATATATTTAAGTGTAAGTTATTTTATTATTGTATATGTAGTAGTTAATAGGAAAATAAAACTTGTTTTTTTTTTAATCTTTATTTCATTTAATATCCATACTAAACAATATCATTTATATTAATCCAAGAGTTTTCTTGCTGTGGGAATCCCAACCACTTCACCAAGGCTTTGTCCCCTTTCGTCGGAATGACCTTTTCCACTAAATAAACATCTTTCCACTTTGTTTTTAATAATTCCAACTCATAAAATGAGCCTTTAATCGATTGACCATTCATATCTTCTAGAATGTATGTTACGGGGTATGTGCTATTTATTTTTCTTATTTTGAATAATTCAGTTGTATAGTTAGCAGTATACCCTTTTTCAAATATGCTTTTATATTTACTTATTCTTACGACATCGCCGACACAATATTTCGGTTTTTTACGCCTTACTTCATTTTTGTTTTGCCTATATTGGTTGAGTTTAGTTGTCGGCAGGACATCTATTGGCTTCATACCTATGATTGAATGCGTGGTGTTATTATACTTATTAATGACGCCGTTTATAATATCTATCCAATTGTATTTCCCTCTCATAGCCATTTTTTTATATAATCACTCTGCCACAAGTCGGCATATCCTTTTACAATAGTCCTTCTTCTGAAAAAATTTCGACGGGCGGATCGGTGGATTTCTTCAATTATTTGGTGCTTAGACATTCTGTCCAATTAAAATACAATTTTTTATTCAAACTTTTTGATCCTTTCTTCCAGTCCTACTATAATTTTTGATAAAACCGCCGTATTTTGTCCAATACTTCCTTTGACGCTTTCAAGGTCTCGAAGAATTTCCGTATTACACTTAAATGAATTTATCGGTAAGATCAGTTAAACGGTTCTCTAATATTATAGTAAAATTTTTTATGCCTTTTATTTCACTTTCCAAAATATCAACTTTAGTAATAATTTTTAAAATATTACTTTTTGTAGTGGTAAGTATGTCCTCAAAAAATTCTCTATTGTAACATCGATTGGTATTTAACATTAACATCGCCAATACTATTGCTTGACACAGTTCGTTGTTCAAATACTAATTTCTTAAGTTCACTCTGCTGATTTTCGAAATAAATCGTAGCTTCGCGTAATACGTTTTTAATGGATTCGGTTAAAGCTTTTAAAACGAGATCTTTTGCTTGCCTAGTAACATCGTCAACATATCCAACTGATACAGCGTCGGTCGATTGCTCTCCGAGGTTCACCAACCGTTTGGTTTGCATATCATAATTACCGTCACCTGTTAATTTGAATCCAAGACCCCTTTTTTCTCGAATAATTACGCGTTGATTTTTCTTTTTTCTTCCGAATTTATCTACAATGTTCCTTGAAGACATTCCGTTTACGACTGACCTCTACAGCGCATGTATTTAATATATTATTCGCTCTTCTCTTAATTCTTCAATTATAGATAAAATTTCATTATCGTGCCCAGTATGGCCGGCTTGCTTTGAACTCCATAATAAACGCAATCTAGCCACCAATTCTCTCGGCTTGTTCCAATAAACGTATGTGGGTTTAGAGGTCATTATTTTTTTGTATTTAGGTATTTTTGAAAACCCTCCACCCTTTATCTTTACCGGAGAGAACAATGGTCTAATAATTTTTCTCAATTTATTTACATTTTTGTTACTTAGCCCTTTGGACTCGTCATACTCCTTAAAGGCCGCTCCGGTAAGTTGTAATATTTCCTTATATGTATCCTTAGTCGCATTACTTACTTTCTTAGGGCTTCGATAAAATAGTAGCTCATACAATTCCGGATTGCCGTGGTAGTCAGCAACTCTTCTATCCCCATCCCAAAACGAGATTTTGCCATCAGAAAATTTTACTTCTAAATTCCCAACCATTGTTTTCATGTCTTTGTCCATATATACGCCGTACCGAGTATCATAGCGTCTATTACCTCGCGATATTTCTTCTAAATGCTTATTAATATATTTTTTATCATCATAATCATCATCATCATCACCATCACCGCGGTCGGATATTGCACTTTCAAAACTTTCTCCATATTTTGTCGAGTCCGGTGATATTGACGCGAGTTCCCTTTTCATGCCAGATCTTTCTTCTTTAGTGTTAGCGGGGTTTTCTTCTTTAGCGTTAGAGGGGTTAGAGGTTGCGGCTTTTGAAATTGTTTTCAACGGTTCCGTCAGCGGTTCATACATTTTTTCTAGAGCTTGCAGAGTTTCAACGCGCCCACTTTTTAAGGCATTAAATTTCTGTCTAACCGAATCGGAGACAGCGGCCAGCTCCGATTTGACGTCGAAATGTTTTTTATTGCTATACATTTTAATCGCTGAAACCACCTGCCGCCTTGGACGCTACTTGAAAAATAACGCGTATTGCATTGTTTATGGGTATATGAAGCTATCGAATCCTTTCTTATATCTACCGGCGCTTATATCTTTATCTTTATCGATCACTAGAAATCCATGCTTTTCACCCCAACATTCCACACATATTTCTTGAAATTTTCTAAAAGACACGTCTGGAGCTACATGGTCTGAATATATGTGACATAGGTTAAGGTCATCTTGTTTAAACATAATTATTAGATTTGCGTTGTCTCTAATCAATTGTTTCGGAATCTTCGAATACGTTTGAGCCAAATAAAAGCAATCTATATTTCTGTGTCGCCCCATACTAAAATATGATCTAATAACATCTTGTTTTTCACAAATCACATCATCAAATGTAAATATGGAATTTGGTTGGGCGTCTACTGGTTGAATTATATCTTCATTATTGTTGAACGTAAAATAACCCAACCCTTTTATCGGAGTCAAAACTTCATGCAAGTACTCATACTTCTTCTGGTATAATGATTTTGAATAAATATATACATTTTCAAATCGTAGCCCATTTGGTTGGATGAGTAGTGATAACATAACATTTGTTTTACCGCAATTTGATGGTCCTATTAGAAGGCCGCGTATTGTATCGGGCAACAATGGGTCATGTCTAGGAATCTTATTTTCACTAACCCCATCACCAACTTTTTCATCTAAATTCTCTACACAAATACTATTTTGTACTTTGACTATGCGCATCGTTTGACTGTCTTTAGCTATATAAGCGATCACCTCATGTAACATTCATTTAAATGCCTAGCGTCAAACGAGTGCGATCTATCACTTAACGTTATTCAAAAAGAAAGTGTGGAAGAGGGTTTGTTAATTCCCTAATAAATAAATTACCATTTGAACTGCACATACCGGGGTACCAATATTGTGGGCCAGGTACGCGCTTACAAAAACGTTTAGCACGTAACGACCCCGGAATAAATGAATTAGATAAAGCCTGTAAATTACATAATATTGCTTACTCTAAAAGTGCAAACGATTTGAAAGCTAGACATATTGCTGATAAGGACCTTCAAGAATTAGCTTGGACTCGGTTTAAAGCTAGCGACGCGTCAGTTGGTGAAAAAGCAGCTGCCTGGACTATCACAAATATTATGAAAACAAAGCGAAGTTTTCGTATGGGCCATAAATTACGGTCTAGGAAGCGGCGTCGCGGAACAAAAAGCAAAAAACGAATTGCTTTCGGTAGAGGAATTGTCAGTAAGATTAAAGGGGTATTAAAGACATATGGCGGACAGAAAATGGGGGGAAAAACACTCAGGAAGATGGCTGCATCATCTCTCATGGCTGCCCGAAAATATGTTAAAGCAGCCGGGGGAAAGAGAAAAATTATTATTCCCCGTATTATACCGATACCAAAAACAGGCGGATTTTTACCATTAATACCTATTTTTGCTGGATTATCTGCATTGGGGAGCTTGGCAGGAGCGGCGTCCGGAATCGTCAAAGCAGTGAACATCGCTAAAACAAATAGTCAACAATTAACAGAAGCTAATCGACACAATAGAACCATGGAAGCCATCTCTCTAGGAAAAAACGGTAAAGGATTATACTTAAAGCTCTATCGAAAGGGGTTGGGCCTTTACATGAAACCATATCGGCCAAAAAACTCGTAAGTTCACTACCT